GCAAAGTCTAGCCGCAGTCTGGAGTCTGAAGCGCCGCCGGCCACGCCCAAAAGGCCGCGGTTGCTCTTGGACAGACCACCAGGATCCTCACCTTCAGCAGCAAGCCCTGGTTCCCTTTACCCGCCGGGCTTTGCAGGAGTTCGGGCAGTTCATGGTGATGTGTGCTTGGAGGAGGCTTCGTGTGCAGATGAGTGGCTTGATGAAGTTGGTGAGAGCCTTTGGGAGGAGGCTGAGCCGGAGGACCTTGAGAGCGAAGTGCTTCATGATGGCGAGAAACCGCCCGAGGTCACGCCAGAAGAGCTGCTCAAGCTCGATTTGGCGAGCGACCGTCACGGGGTGGAGCGCTTGATGCAGATGGGGGCTATACGCCGCCCCAAGGCCTCCGAGGACCTGTCGAGCTACAGCCGCCTGACGACAAAGGTTGTCCGCGATAGCGGCCAACGTGGGTCAGACGATCGCGCCTGGTGGCCCGAGAATTCAAATCCTGGTCGCCATGGACGCAGGACCTTTTCGCTCCGGCCTCTTCGCTGGCTATCTGCCATGGACTGATAGCCCAGGCTCAGGTCCTGGGCCTTGAACTCACCACGCTGGACGTGAAAGATGCATATCTTAATGTCCCGCAGAAGGCGCCAGTGGTTATCGAGATTGACTCCCGTGTCTTCGAGGAAGGGCCTTCTCGTATGGTGCCCTTTGTTCTGGAGCGCCTCTTGCCGGGACAGAGGGTGGCAGCTGGTGAGTGGTTCGGGTTTATCACCGGAATCCTCAAGGAGGCTGGCCTGGAGAGTTTCCCGAAAGAACCAACATTATTCCGAGGTGCCAAGGAGGGGGACATGACCAGCCTGGTGCTTCATGCAGATGATGGGTTGCTAGCCTCGACTCCCGAGGCCCGGGCACACCTTAAAGCAAAGCTTGAGGAGAAGGTGGTGGTGCAGTTCAGCAAGCCAGCTCTACAGATTGGTGATGAGTTCGAGTTTTTGAAGCGGAGGTATGTTTTGGAGCAAGACGGTGTGGTGATGTTTTCCAACAACAAGCACCTAGAGGGGCTTGTCAAGGCCTTGGGTGCACAGACCCGTTTCCGAGAGACCCCGGCCGACAACACCTTCCTCCCAAGAGCTTCCAGAAGCTAAGGCCCGGGTATTCCGTGAATGCCTTGGGCGGCTCTTGTATCTCAGCCACTCAAGGCCAGATGTGCAATTTGCCACCTGTGCCCTGGCAAGCAGCATGGCCAAGCCAACCACCGGAGCTATGAAGAAGCTCTGCAGGACAGTGGGATATTTGGCAAATGTGCCTGTGCTGGGTTTCCTTATCAAGCCGGTGCAGGACAGAGCGTGCCTGGGCAAGCCAAGTGGGGTTGCACTGCAGCCCGGTGGCGTGATCATCTTGGAGAGCGTGACCGACGCCGACTGGGGCGGGAACAAGGCTGACAGGAGGAGCAAGACCTCAGCACAGATCTACCTCGGAGGGAGCCTGCTCAGCTCCTTTGTCAGATCGCAACGTTCCGTGGCGCTCTCCTCTGGAGAGTCAGAGTTCATAGCAACCGTTGCCGGTGCAGGAGAGATGCTTTATGTCAAGGAGTGCATGGAGTTTATCCTGAAGGGGTATGCAACAATTGAGGCCACAGCTCGCACAGACAGTGCCGCGAGCCGCGGCATCTCCCAGCGGATCGGGTGCGGCCGTATTCGGCACCTGGACTGCGGCCTGTTGTGGCTGCAAGACTCAGTGAAGAAGGGCCTGCTCCGTGTGGGGCCCATTGCTGGAGCCCGCAACCCAGCAGATGTTGGGACCAAGCCGCTCTGTGGCCCGAAGCTCCGGGAGCTGCTGTGGAGGAGTGGTGCCATGACGGACAGTGGAGAGTGCTATGGTGAGCAAGAGGGTCAGGAAGCTGACCACAAGCAGCAGGTGAACAGCCTTGTTGCACGCAGCGGCCTTGGTACACGACTGGGTCGCCAGACTCTCCCTGTTCTTTTGGTGCTGGCTCAAATCATAGCAGGTGATGGCTATGGTGGTTTTGAGGGCTTGGGCTTGGTTACGGCTAGCAGCTTCTTGGAGGAGTTTGTTATAGCAACAACCTCGGCTATGACGATGTGGCTCGTCATCATGATTTTCATGGTGAGTTTTCCTTTGTGCGTGGGGTGGGCTGCACGGAGCTTGTGGAGAGCTTGGTGGCATTCCTCGCCCAGCACCGAGCCTGAGCCGGAGGTTTGTTTTGATGAGCCCAATGTGAAAGACAAGTGCGTCCAAGCTTCACTTGGACCCAGCCCCAGTGAGAAGCGATGGCAAGAAGAGTATGTTGAGAGATGCAATTTCTTGAAGACCGCTCTTCACGAAGAGCACCAGACCGTCCTTGGGTGCGAGAGCGAGCTTCGTAGACTTCGCGCAGAAGTTCGGCGGCTGGAGGCTGCTGGACCACAAGAGGTAGTTCCTAGCTCGGTGGCAGTAGCCACAAGTCGTGGACATAGTTTCCACCGCCCAGGGTGCGGGGCCATCCGTAACAGCACTGGGGTCAAAACGTATTTTGCTTGCAAGCTGTGTTTTCATGAAAGGACAGATGGCTGAGCACTTTTGCGGTTGAGTGCGGACGTTCCCCAAGGTTGGGAAAAGTCCGAGGCGGGGTGAAAGACATGAGTCACCCGCGGCTTGTGCATATGTAAGCATTGCTTCGCTCAACTGGTGCGTTCCGACAGCCCTCGCCTTTCAAGGAAAAATTGTTCAAGCTGGGTTCTGCGTCACCTAGAAAAGGCGTGGATTATAGCTATCGCTCTCCTATTTGTAAGCTTATGGCATGGCTACCCATGAACCTCCAAGTAGGTGACACGCCCGACTGAAGTTTTTGAATCTAAAGCTTCAGCCCCACGGGGTGTGCAAGTCCTGTAAATCCTAAACCCTGGACAACACGGCTGTCTTGGACTCCATATGCTTGGCGTCGCTATTTTCTGTTTTGATTCAGAGGAACGCGTTCGGTAGGGAAGCCTCTTGTAGGCTGTACTTCGCCCAACCCTCCCGGAAGTCCATACGCCCGAGCAGCCTTAGCCCTTACCAGCCCCAACCTCAAACCTGACGCGCTGACAGCCGTGAGCGTCCTAAGCCGCGGAGATTTCGTAAGAAGTACTTCTCCCAGCAATGACAATGATGGTAACGATGCAAGATGCACGCCAAGAACTTGTGTCAAAGCAGTAGCAGTTTCGATAAGAAAAGCAGTAGCAACAACAACCAACAGCACTTCTAGTATCAATGATGTTAAGCAGTAATCATGACAGCAAGAGTGTAAGCAGTCTACTACTAGTCTACTACTAAGAACGGCACTTGTTCAAATCATGGTAAGAGTGCTCTCGGTGTACTAATGAACATAATGCTAAAACTAGCAACAAGTGTTACAGTAACAGCCACACTACAGTCACAATAACGAAACAAACATTACCTAGTAGCAATACAATCAATCATACCAATCAAAACAATAGCACTAATACTAAGACTAAGGCTAAGACTGAGACCAATACTAATGCTAATGCGAATACTAATACTAATAAAGGTACTGATGCTAGTACTAATCCTAATAACAGTAATAGTAGTGGTAATAGTGCTAGTAATCAATATGAGAATCAGAATAGTCGTAGAGCCATAACCATACATAGTCATGACCATCGAAAAGGAAGTCATCCTAGTGCTCACGCACCCAGAGGCGATCCTAGCGAAACTGGAGCAGAGCCAGATGCAACAGAGGCAGATGCACCTTCAGGCGACAGAAGCGGGCGTTCCCCAACTCTAGGGCTACCTTAGCCAGGGGTCATGTCCCAGTTTTTTTTTTGGGGGGGGTTCTGTCTTTGGGGACCCTGTCTGTGGTTAGGGATTTAGGGATCCAGCGCTTTTGGAATCATGTCAGGGTTGGGAGTTTGACGGGCCCGGAGGGTTCAGGGTTCTCGGGTATGTCGGGTTCGGGATTTATTTTTGAGGTTTTTTGTGGTTCTACAGTTGCAGAGTGTCGGGATTCGACTTCGTGGAATCGCAGGGTTTTATCATCCAGGGTATAGAGATGGCGGCTACCGCTACCACCGTTACAGCTACTGTCGCTGCTTTTGCTGCTGCGGCTACTGCTACTACCACCACCTCCACTCCATCGTAACGATGATGCTAATCATTTTGCTAAAGGCATTTGTTGTAGTATGCCAAAATTGCGAACACCAACAGTTGATTGCTGTGATAAATGATACCAATAGTACGGCCGGCAGCATTCGAAAACATCAGCGTTCATTACACTATCGTTCATGAGCATCGGCTAGTCTTTGTTGCAGTTGTACTTGTATGAACCATCGGGATTGCTATCATTATGACAGCGATGAGAAGTAATGTTGATGTCCTCGGTTCATTTTCATAATCTTTAGATACACACAGATGTTGTATTGGTAACAACGCAACAACAACTGCTAACACGCCGCATGTACAGGCCGTATATGTACACTGTATATGCCAAGCCTGTATATACACACACACACAGACATATATATATATACATATGTATATATGTATATATGTACATATGTATATATATATACATATATACATACATATATATATATATGTATGCTTATACACACATATGTATGTATGTATGTGTATATATATATGTATACACACATACACACACACACACATACACACATACACACATACACACACACACACATATATATATATATATATGTGTACTAGCTGCGTTTTTCTTTCTCTGAATACCGGGAATGTACGTTGATCCCGGGAAGCTAAAGCTACTGAGAAGCGCAAGCAAAACTGTTCGCGTGGGCCATGTACGAACTCGGGCGACATCATCTGTAAGACAGTAAGCCTGTGCCCCAACCCACAGGCACATTTGGGGCGGGAGCACTCTGTGGTCTATTCAGTCCCAAACCCTGAACCCTGAGTCCTTGAAGCCACAAGAAGCCATTCAACCCAAAGCCTTAACGACCTAAGCCACACAAAAACCCGCAAAACCCCAAAACACCCACCTATACTTTAAGCCGCTGGCGGCGAGGTGATGCAGGCCATCCAGGGTGCCTGGGCCCCAGCTACTTTGATCCTTGGTTCTCCGGTGCAGTTCCTCCAAGATGATTGAAGCATGCATGTCGACCCATCTTTCCGTCTGTCCCTCTCTACCTATCCATCTATCCCTCCAGCTCGCTAGTCAGCTAGGCAGCTAGCCAGCTAGGCAGCTAGCGAGCTGAACGGCTCATGGGGAAATCCCTGCACCCTGAACCGAGTTGCTTGGGTCATAAAGTACCTTGATGGGGTTATAGCTAGGTAGTACAACTATAGGTACCTTTACTTATGACCCTGAGCACGAAGTGCAGTTTTTCAAAAGCCCGAGCCTGGCCTTTCTGGCAGGTTGCCATGGGAGCTCCAACGCGACATCCGGACCAGCGCCGCAGCGACCCATCGCGCGTGACGCGCCGGCACAGCAGGCACGCGAAAGGGGTTTAGGGTTTAGGGTTCAGGGTTTAGGGTTTAGGGTTTTGGACATCCTCGTGTCGCGGAGCTCTAAGTCTTCAACGCTGAGCGTGTGTGTCAAGTGATGGTCGAAGCTTGACTTAGTGGCCGCCCCTTCTTGTTGGGCAGTGTTGTCGCATGCTATCGTAGCATGTTGTAAGCTGTAGCATCAGCAGTACAGTAGTCCAGCACGGAGTTGTTACACTATTGAATCTCAAGTTGACAGTATTTATGTCTTATCGCGCTTACCAAGTGTGTCGTTCCTTCAGACAGCTCGCACCACTTTGAATTCACAATCCTTTTGCAGTCTTCCTTTGCTGTTTCCCTTTCGTAGGACTGAGCCCAGAACCCTCGGAATCCCTACACTCTTCGCTGTCCTCAGAAGTGACCTGAAGGGCTTCTCGGTTTCGGGAAGTTTCGGGGTTCAATTTGAAAGTGTAGGGTTTGCAGTTTTTTCAGGTCCAAACCTCATGATTGAAGTTCAAAGCTGCTTAGAACACAGCGACCAAGGGGAGTCTTAGGATTAGTGCTCCGGGCCGTAGCTGATGGTTGGAGCTGTGGATTCACTCATTGATTGTAAGGTGCGTTATATGGGATGCCATAAGGACCCTAAACCCTAAACCCTAAACCCGATACTACCCCGCCTGTGACCCTAACCCTAAACCAACCCCCGGCTTGAACCATCAAGGCTGAGGTCTCGCTGCCTGCCAAGCTGAAAGAGCCAACCCCAAACCCTTCAGTCTAAAACCGCAGACGCTGCAAGCCTAAAGCTTTAAACACTAAAGCCCCAAAGCTCTAAACCCTGTATCGCTGGACAACTAAACCTGTGTCCACCATATGCACGGAGAGCGCTCCCAATTCGGGAGGACTCAGGGTGACTTCCCCGGGCCTGTCACATCTCTGTCTTTGTCCTCGGGCAAAGTGCCTTCCATGACAGAGATGCAAAGTGCCTCGGTGCATCTCCGTTGCGTTGTAGGGCTCAAGGTTCAGGGCTTAGGCGGGTTTCGCAGAGACGTCGAGGATCTGGATCGGGCATTTTAAAGTCCTCGGTAGCGCAGCGCAGTTTGGGTTTTTCAGCTCACTGGCGTTTCCGGAGTCACCATGGATTGTTCAAGGTATTCACCAGATTTCTCGGCTTCGAATCTGACAAAAAGACTTGCCTGCCATTTGCGCTCCAACGAAAATGCCGAACCTATGTTCCCTACTGCTTTCGCAACCAGCATAAACCAAGATCCCAACACCCTAGCCCTTAGAATCCTAAACCGCCCACATCCAGAAAACTAATACCCTCAGCCCTGTAAGACTTTAGTTTCTTCGGATTGCCAGCTTGAGGTGCTGTACTCCGATCTCTCGGCGCGCAGCTAGATCCTTGGGCTTGCACGGCGACAGACTTAGACACCGCCTGTTGTACCGTGTATGACGCCACGCTACCCAACAGCAGTGTTGCGCGATCTTCGTCCTCTCCGTCGGGCGTGATCCAGCCTGTGCGTTGTGGACATATCAGCTTCATGGAAAGTGCAGCTGGGTCCTGCTTTAGGGAGTGTTTGCAAGGTTGACAGCAGCTTACATGTTGCTGCTAGGTTGCAGGGCACTACGCCAGAAAGCGTTCCAACGGACATGCAGTTCAGCTCTTCGCACCCTGAGACTGAAAAACGGCTCAGTTGAGGAGGCGATCTGAAACCATGCAGTAGAGGAGTCAGGAGATCCGCTTTTTCAAGCTGTATTGCATAATTCAAACTTATGGGTGGCTCTGGGTCGCGATTTCTGCGGATTTTTTTTTTTGCGGTGCAGCAAAGCTATCGGAAAGAGCGGGACCTGGAAATCCTAAACTTCCGCTGGGACCCGGAGGTCGGGTTGAGGGCTTGGGGTTTAGGGCTTCGGGCTTCGGGTTTCGGG